TGCATAACTGGAACCCAAGCACAAAAACTTCTAAGTCCACAACTGTACCTCATGGTGTTTCACTAATAAAAATTAAAACACACACACACACACACACATAACAACAACAACAACAACAACAAAACCTGACCCCAAAACTTGACTTAGCCCATTTTCTTACAAAAAATATTTTCATATTTCAGGTAGTGGGCAGCCACATTTAATTTACACTACATCATTTTATTAGCAGAAACGGAGGGAAAAAGATTGATAAAGTAAAGTGAAAAACTGGTCCAAGAGGCTGGAATCATCTCTCCACCCTCCATTTACATACTATGGACACTTTAAGCAGAAGAGCCGCCCCTTAGAAATACAAAGGAACAGGGAATACCAGCGGTTGAAGGTTCATTGTATCTTGCTCTAAGAATTCACAGAATGTGCTTGCCTAATAAAATAAAGGTTTCTCAGTTTGCATTATTAATTTAGGAAATATCAGCATCTATTAATTGCACGAACAAAACTTGTCAAGTTCTCAGTAATGGTTTGGAATTTAAAGAAGGACTGGAGCGATAGCACAGCGGGTAGGGCGTTCGCCTTACAAGCGGCCAACATGGCCGACCCGAGTTCGATTCCTCCGCCCCTCTCGGAGAACCCGGCAAGCTACCGAGAGTATTCGATATGCCAGACACAGTAACAACAAAGTCTCCAATGGAGACGTTACTGGGTCCGCTCGAGCAAATTGACGATCAACGGGAGGGGCTTTACCTTTTTTACCTTTACCTGAATTAAGAATTTTAAGGAATGCTGTCTTTCACCCCTTGCTCACATTTCGTAACTTAGGCCATCCTATTAGCTTTTAAGTATTTCAAGAGACCACATCTTCGACCAATCCAACTCTCTAGACCTAAGTTATTTAACCTACCTTCATTTCTGATGCAAATAACATTTCAATCATCTCACACTTTATTGTTTCAGAAAATCATATTAGTGCTGATATTTTAATGACATCTATATTTCAGTCAAGCTTTATGTTATTTTTTCCCCATTACCAGATAAGCTTTTAAAAATGTAATAAAAATATACCAAACAATATGTCTGGCTTTAAAGCTTTAGTAAAAACTTATTTTGCTCAGAATCAACTTTTCTGATAATAAAATGACAGTGTAAATTAAATTAAAACTTGATATGAAACATGGGATACATGGAGCTATGACAGAGAGAGGATGAAAATGAATCTTGAACCACACAAACGCAAGACAATGGTGTCTTGTCTTGGAAAGAAAGTTGTGATTCCTTTTAAAGCATTTGGGGCTTTTGATGAGAAAATGTATGCTACTACTACATCGTGTCATACTAAGTCCTCTTTAGCATCACACCTCAGACACTGGAGGGAAAGACAGAGAAAAGCATCTTCACTAAATTCCATGTGGGAGGTTCCAGAGGAAGTTTCTGCTGAGCTGCAGGCGAGAGAAATCAGTTAAAAGGCTGGTTTGAAGAGGGTCTCTTCTGGAATCAGGGAGTCCTGAGGCAGTCAGGGTCCATGAAACATCATTAGAATGGTGACAATCAGGTTCTTTTTGTTTGCTTTTAAATCCACAAGAAAACTCAAGTCCAAAATAATAACTTCTAAGAACCATCCCCTAATGGGTCACTAAAAATTTTTAACAGGCCGATGAGAGAAATTTTATACTTCCTTTTTCAGAACAACTTAGTTCTGTATGAATATTAAAACATCAAAATCAGGTGGCGCATTTAAAAAGATGAGGACAGTTCTAATGAACTGGGTTAGCACCCAGAAGAACAAAGCAGCTGTTATTATTGAGCCTTAGGCAACAATCACCATTGTGTGATTCAATATTTGTTTTTATCCTCTCTGTCATAGCCCCTAGTATCCAAAATCCTTATCAAGTTTTCATTTAATTTACACTATGCCATTTTATTAGCAGAAAAGTTGATTCTGAGCAGAAAAAAATTTCAATTTTATAACATCCAGGCCTATATTTCTCCTTTGTGCCTTTACACACATTGACTTTGGCTTTCCATGAAAGTTGAAGTGAGAAACCAAAATAAAACCGTAAGAACCGTCACGAAAAATGGTGCAGTCTCAATGCTTACTTTTACTTCCCTTTGCTTGTATTAACCTCAGGAAAATCTTAACCCATAAACCACAAACTAAAAAGGAAATCACACGCACACACACACACACACACACACACACGAAATGAGAAATCTTGAATGAGTAAAGAAAAGGACACAGATGGCCACAAGAAGAATCACTACAAACCACTCACTTTTTGAGCAACTAAAGTTCACTAATTTTTATAAAGCAAGTTTCAACAGGGATACAGCATAAAACAATAATATCACTTGATCACTTGACATCCCGTTACTCATCGATTTGCTCGAGCGGGCACCAGTAACGTCTCCAAGTGTCAAGTGATAGTGTAGCCCAATGGCATCTGCTCGCTCCAGGAACATGAAGAGCCTCAAACCGATCATTCAGGGTCTTGATGAAGAAGTCTGACCATCTCATAGATGGGCGGCCACACGATCTTTTGACGTCCCAGGGAATCCAGTCGGTAATGGCTCTAGTCCAGGGGTTGTCTCCAAATTGCATTACGTGTCCAGTCCATCTGATTTTCAACACCTTGGCAAATGAGACAGCGTCCCTGATTCTTGATTGCCGACAGAGGTCGGAACTCTGCATTCTTTCTCTCACTTGAGTGGAGCATGATATTCCAAGCATAGCTCTTTCAATTCCTCTTTGGGAGACCCGAATAACGTTCTCATCCTGTTTTTGTAGGGCCCAGGTCTCTGACACGTATGTTAATGCAGGAACAGTGTCATCGAAGAGGTGTGCCCGGAGCTGGAGGTTCTTCGTCCTCTTAGCTATTTCTTCTACACTCTTGAAGGCGTTCCAAGCCGCTCTCTTCCTTCTGTGCAACTCAGGTGCCAGGTCATTCATCATATTGACTTCTCGACCTACCTACACATAACTGTTGCATTTGGAGATGTTCGTTCCGTTGAGAGCTAATGGAACATCAGGAATGAGTCCATTTCTCATAAACATTGTCTTCATGAGATTCAGCTGCAGTCTGACCTTCCCACACTCATGGTCGAAGTCAGCCAGCATTTGTGCCACTTGGCTAATGTTTGGTGTTATTAGAACAATGTCATCATTGTTCAAACACGAAGCGGAGTTGGTGTAGTTGCCAACTACACTCCCATCTTCACTCCCATTCCTTCCCATTCCAGTCGTCACATGACATTCTCCAGGGTGGCACTGAAGAGTTTCAGTGAAATGGTATCACCCTGCTGAACCCCTTTCTTGACATCAATGATTATTTCTTTGTAGAATGGTGAGATCCTGGCAGTGAATCCATAATACAGCTCACAGAAGATCCTGATGTATTGAGTTTGAATGCCCTGTTTGGCTAGGGCTTCGATGACCGCTTCAGTCTCAACAGAATCAAAGGCCTTCTTTAAATCAATGAACATTAGACAGAGTGGCATCTTGAACTCTCGAGAAACCTTAATGAGCTTGGTTATCGTGTGGATATGGTCGATCGTGCTAAATCCTTCTCGGAAACCGGCTTGCTCGCATGGTTGTCCTTCATCTAGTGTTCTGCCAATCCTAATCAGGATGACTCCGGTGAACAGCTTGTAGACGACAGATAACAGAGAGATCGGGCGACAGTTGTCAATGTCGTGGATGTCTCCCTTCTTGTATAGTAGAACAGTCCTGCTGGTTTTCCATTGTATCGGAACCTTGCATTCAGACAGGTAGCGTGTGAAGAGCAGAGCCAGTGTATTGATGAGTACTGACAGAAGGTTCTTCAGGTGTTCTGGTCTGACCTTGTCGGGGTGGGTGCTTTTGCTTCTTTACCAATGAAATGGTGTGTTGGATTTCGGAAGGGAGAATGTTGGAAACGACATATCCACCCTGCAGAATTTGGTATGTGGACAGGTGGAAGTCACTATCGAAGAGATCCGAGTAGAAGTCATGGATAATCTTCTCCATTGCCCCTTTTTTTTGAAAGAGTAAATTTAAAAATATTAAAAAACTTGCTTCGACTAGATATCGAGAATGATTTCATAGTGAAATGAAGTTAAATATAAATATGAAATTCAAATACCAAAGAAAACATTTAAAGGTTAGGGATAAAATATAGTTTTATGTAGGTATGAATTTTAAATTTGAATGTTTTAATTTTTTAAAGTTTAATTTACTTAACATGGGCCGGAGAGATAGCACAGTGGGTAGGGCGTTTGCCTTGCATGCGGCTGACCCGGGTTCAATCCTCAGCATCCCATATGGTCCCCCAAGCACCGCCAGGAGTAATTCCTGAGTGCAAAGCCAGGAGTAACCCCGGAGCATTGCTGGGTGTGACCCAAAAAGCAAAAATAAAAAAAATTTACTTAACATGATATTAAAACAAAAACTGTTCCATTTCAATATCTAAATATTAAAAACTATACATCAGAAATTATTAAATCACTATCCATACAATTATTTAATTATTAATCATTAATTAAATTATCGGAAGTAGTCTAATCCAACTTTGTTTTTTCAGCTTCTAGTATTCTAGTAACGCCTGCACTTAAACGCGGGTGTAGAGAGTCCCGGGACTGTGCCAGGCTGCCCCAGCGCATCCTCAGGGCTTGTGGCCCCTGGAGTCGCGCCCGCCCTCACCCCGCGGGGATCCGGGACCTCAAGGCGCTACAGCTGTGCTCGCGCCCTTGGCTCAGAATTTGCCCTCCCGGCTCAGAAACGTCCGATTCTGTGCGAACAACCAACCATGCCCGGATCCCTAGCCTCCCCTCTCTCAAAAACCCAAACAGTTGCCTAAAAACGCTTTTGCTAGCGTTTCCAGAAGAGAGCCAAGCACCAAATCAGGCGGAAGGGCTGCCAGGCAGTCGTGGGCTCCCTCTGCCCGGGCGATGCGGCGGGGAAGGAGCTGCCGCGGCCGCCGCGGTGGCGCGGGGCTTTTCTGCACTATTAAAGCAGCCGGACCGCCGCGATGTCCGCTCAGCGACGCGCCTGGGCTGCCGACTTGGACCCGCGCCCAAACGCCCAGGAACGGCACCCGCGCGCCCTCTCGTGGCCATCCGCAGGATCCCGCTTGCTGGGAACCAGCCCAGAGAAAAAGCGCCGCCAGGAGCCGTCACCGTGCCAGCGCGCCCCCTCGAGGACGCTCAGGGAAGCACTGAAGCTCGCTATGGTCCCCAGGTACTTGCTGATGGCAGGAGTGATGCTCTACCTCCTTCCTGCGTGCACTCAAGAATGGAGCCAGGCTCTGCAAAAGAGGGACAAGAGGGAAATCGCTATGCTTCTGAGTCAGCTGCAAAACACCCCGTCTCACTCATGCCTGAATGACAGAGAAAACTTCCAATTTCCTTGGAAGAGAGGCAATAGTACCCCAATCCAGAAGGGCCAAGGCACCTGTCTCTACCAACTGATGCTCCAGCAGATCTTCATGCTCTTCAGCACTGAGCACGGCCTCGATACCTGGAACCACAGCGTCCTGGAGAAGCTACTCTCTAGCCTTCATCACAGCCTGGAACATCTAGAGCGCAAAGAAGAGGGCAGCCCAGTTTGTCTCTCTTTGGGGATTGTTCTGAGAAAGTACTTCCGAAGAATCAAGCTGTATCTGAATCAAAAGAAACACAGTGCGTGTGCCTGGGAGATTGTCAGGGGGGAAATTCAAGCCTCCTTTGCCCTCATGAAACAATCATCGAAGAGAATTTAGCACACCAGAAGAAGGGTGTATCTGGTATTCTCAAATCAATTCAAATGCTGTTAAGACCTGAAAGGAAACCAATTTTTGTATCAGCGGGCAAATATTTGAGAGGCAAAAGGTGGCATTATTTTAGCAATATATCATCAAGTATCTGTTAAAGAGAAGAACATGATCAATTTTATTAAATAAATAATTTTTATAACTACAAATTGTATTTAAGTTCTTGGGATTGTGGGTGGTAGCACCCATTCACAGTGGTCGCGAGGCACTCCCATTCCTCTGTTTTTTGTTTCAAATCTGTGCTCTGCTTCCTTAACCAGTCAATATTCTTTATCTCTAATCAGACTCTGTTAACTTGTAAATACTGCTTTTCTCTTCTCCTTATATCCTTTGCACAGCTAATTCAGAGAAATTTCCTTTTTGTATTTCCTAACACAGTTAGGAAGATAGTTAATGCTGTGTTTTTGTAAATTGGGAGTAAATTGACTTAGAAAAATATTCACTCCTGGGCATCTGTTTTCTTGACTTAAGCCTTAGCTGCCCTTACTTCTAGCACCCAAATGGAGGGTCTCCATGAAGGACTGAATGGACCCAGGCCAAGCTGTCAGCTACCCTGGCATTGAAATGGGCCAGGTCAAAGCGCCATAATACTTCACTATAAATTAATAGCATGGTCGTGAACAAATTGTGTCATGATCCAAAAAGAAACAACCAGATTAGGACCCTGCTAGGGTTAGGAAAGACTAATCTGGCCTGAGCACTGCAGTCTAAGTTCTCTAGCAGATGTCCCATGAGAGCCACCCTACAAGCTTAATGTATTTCTTACTGTGTCCATACAATATGACTAATATTATTAATTAAGATGAATGTTTAAATGGTTATTGGACTATTGAAAGGAGAAAGCCTCTGGGTGAAATTTCGCTCTTGAGTCTGATCTGCTGGCTGGAGGTGATCATAAAAGGCTTTGATATGTGGATTGTGCTACCCCACCTTGGTGTGGTCGCTACCCCTAATGCTGGAGTTGGGAGAGACTAGACAGAGACCAAGGTGGTGAGTCTGAGCTTGAAGAGATGAGTGATAAAGGCAGGAGGAGATAGGAATGATGAGCTTAATGAGATGAATGGGCACGTGGGGAAAATGAAATAAATGGCCACTGATAACAGCCAGCTTGGCCCTCGTTTCCTCCTTTGCCCATGGCATTGGTCCTGGTGGGGTAGTGGCAGGAGACTACAGGACTCAGGCGGGAGAGAGAGCTTCAGGATTCCTAGTCATTTAGTGATTACACCTCCTCTTCTACCCCCTCCTCCCCTCCTCTTCCTCCTCCTCTTCCTTCTCCTCTTCCTCTTCCTTCTTTCTCCTCTTTCTTCTCTTTCTCCTCCAACTCCTCCTCCTTCTCCTTCCTCCTCTTCTGTCCTCCTCCTCCTCTTCCTCCTGCTTCTATCTCTGTTTTTCTCTCTTCTCTTTTGAGCATTATGATTTTCAATACAGATACTGAAAGGGCATCATGTATATACCTTTACCAACTTTAAACACTCAGTGGTTCTTGTCCAGAGTGATTTGTTCTAACTATTATTCTCTTACTGGTCCCCTCTCAATCCTAACTACTCTTTCACTCTCACCTGCATGTCGCGCAAAGCTCTAACCATTGACTAGTGTGACCAGTTCCTGTATATAGACTTTGTAGCCAACATTTATGTTGTGTCTACACACATATTAAATTTTGCTTTCTTGTGTAGTTTCTTTATCCTGACCTTATGGCCCCAGTGAAGAGAACCATATGGACCTATAGGAATGTCACTAATAGGAACATATCAGAGAAGCTCCTTTGTTAATATACATCACTCTCTACAGTAAATCAAATGTAAATTAAAACTATCTGTTTTTAGTAGATAATTGCAAGGAAGGGCTGGTTACCCAAAACATATACAGACACCCACAATTCTTCCTACATCAACTAAGTAGTGTGTAGACAGTGGAAGACACAGGTCTGAAACTTTGTTTCTCAATTATAGAACAATATCATTAAGGAAAAAGAGTGCACTCTTATGTCTACCTAAACACACTTTTGTCTTTTGGACAAAGAATTTTTTCAATGGCTGCTAAGCATACATTTGGATTGAGTCATACAAATTTCCTAGTAAATTTTTGAGTCATACAAATTTCCATACAAATTTTTCTGCCCCCCCCCCCCCCCAAAGATTGAAAACATTGTTTCATGCCACATGGAGAAAACTTAAACGAAAACCAGAAAATGGGAAGTAAAAGTAGAGGGCAAAAGTAGAGGGCAAAAGTGAAAATCTGGGTACCCTATTTAAGGGTTGTACTCAGAGACCGGCTTCAGAGAATCCAGACTCCAAGGTTCACCCCGAAGCTCAGCCAGACCAGCGCCTTCCTCCTGTTCCCAATGGCCCTCCTGCTGCCTCTGCTCCTGGCCCTGGTGGCACTCGGCTGGGGCCCTGCTGGCTCTCTGGGCTGTGTCCTGCCTCACAAGCACGTCCTGGTCGGCAGGAGGAACCTGGAGCTGCTGGGCCAGATGAGGAGAGTGTCCCCGTTGTCCTGTCTGCGGGACAGAAGAGACTTCGGGTTCCCCTGGGAGGCGGTGGCCGACGACCAGTTGCAGAAGGCCCCGGCCATGTCTGCGCTGCGCGAGATGCTCCAGCAGCTCTTGCAGCTCTTGCTGAGAGAGGACTCGGCGGCTGCCTGGAATCCGGCCCTCCTGGAGCCGCTGCGCACGGGGCTCCACCGGCAGCTGGAAGACCTGGACTCGTGTTTGGTGCAGAGGAGGGCAGATGACGGCTCTGCCCCTGGCGTTTGGAGCTCTACCCTGGCCATGAAGAGGTACTTCCGGGGCATCGCTCGCTACCTGAGAGAGAAGAAATACAGCGAGTGTGCGTGGGAGGTGGTCAGAGTGGAAGTCATGAGATCCCTGACGCTCTCGGCAGCCTTGCAAGGAAGCTGGAGCATTAAGGATGAAGACCTGGAGTCATCGGGAATTGCACCTCAATGAGGAACATGCCATCAGACATTGCATACGTCTACGGACATTTGAAAAGCTTCTTACACCAACTTTAATTATATGATTTATTGAAATGATTCAGCTAATTCTTTATCCATGTTATTAGTTGAGTGCATGTTCAAATATATTCAGCCTCAGGGTTATCCATTCTCAGAGAGGATCACCAGGATGTTATTTATTTATGTATTTATTATTAATTTTATTCTCAAATGACCATATTTATAGTTACATATAATATATAAATAGACTTTGTCATTATTATGTATTAAAATTTGGAACATTATTTCACCTATGATAGTGTTACTTATTACATTCTCAAAGAGAAACTACTTGAATTTAAAATATTCATTTCTTTTGTTTTGGGGTCACATCCGATTTTGTGCAGGGATTACTCCTGGTTTTGTGCTCAGGGATCACTTTTGGTGGTGCTCCCGTGAACCATACAAGGTGCCCCAGATAGAATCTCGGTTGAGTGCATGTAAAGTAACTGTCTTAAATGCTCAACCATCTCTCTAGCTGAGTGCCCATTTTTAACACGTAAATCCTTTTTGTTTCAATTAAATGAACTCCGAAAAGCATTAGTCTCGAGTCCTGTGGAGTAGTCCATCTCTCCTAAATATTTTTCAAAATCTGAGCTTCCATGGGATTCAAGGTATCTTGGAAAATATGAGAAATGGTTACCCTTATCTTGGAGGTGAAATTGATTTATACTCATTCTTCAGTGACAGTGGGTGAGATTTGCGTGAGGAGTGGTCTGCTAGAGGAAATTGGGAAGGATGGCTGCTCTATATTGGCGGATCCTGAGACCTGGTACTCTTTTCCCACCCTCTCCCGGACTGATTTACTGAATCCACCTCTCCATTTCTCCTTCTCCACTCCCTCCACCTTACTACCCATGCACACAGGCATGTCTGATCTCTTGTGAGTTCTAGCTTCAAGGATTCTATTTGGCAAAATCTAGAGATGATGCAGTGGAAAGGGAGCTCTACGTTTTTTCAAAATGTTGAAAAGGTTTTGGGGAGTGAATGTTCTAGGGGCATTTTGGCTGCCTGACAAAATGCTGCAAAAATGAAATGGATGCAGACTCAAGAAGGAAAAGGCAGAAATTGCACAGGACCAGCCGTAAAGGCTGAAAGCAGACTTGATTCTGTTATGTTTCATCTCATTTCACTTCTCCACAACATCCTTCCTTACCTGTTGTCCTATTGATCTGGCACCTGAAATAAATTATTTAAAGAAAGTACATAGATCATGGGCTGTAGCGATAGCACAGCAGGTAGGGCGTTTGCCTTGCACGCAGCCAACATGACTGACCAGAGTTCGATTCCTCCGCTCCTCTCGGAGAACCTAGCAAGCTACCAAGAGTATCTCGCCCGCATGGTAAAGCCTGGCAGGCTACCCATGATGTATTCGATATACCAAACACAGTAACAAGTGTCACAATGGAGACGTTACTGGGCCCGCTCAAGCAAATCGATGAACAAGGGGAGGACAGTGACAGTGACAATGACATAGATCATAGGTATCACAAAAACATGGGTGTTAGTCTCCTATTTTGTTACTTTATGTTCCCCAGATGAATGCAATCTTTGTATGTCTATCCCTTTCTTTCTGAGTCATTTCGCTTAACATGATACTTTCCATGTAGTACCACTTGTATGTAAATTTCATGACTTCATCTTTTCTAACAGCTACATAGTACTCCATTGTGTAAATGTACCAAAGTTTCTTTAACCAGTCATCTGTTCTCCGGCACTCAGGGTTTTTCCAGATTCTGGCTATTGTAAAGAGTGCTGCAATGAACAAACAAGTGCAGATGTCACTTCGACTATACTTTTTTGCCTCTCTCTATGACTTGAAGGCCAGCCACACATGCTAGGGGAAAAGGGAGCTCAGATAGAGAAGGGAGCACCAAATAAAGGGTGTTGGGAGGATCCTCCCAGGATGGGAGAAGCATGCTGAAAGTAGACTATAGACCAAACATGATTGCCAC